TGTACTTTCAAATGCTTTGCCAGAAAGAGCAATCAGTTGTTTTCTATTTAAAAATCAAGGGATTATTCTTATTCATCTTTCATCTGAAAACTTCCTGGGAGATTTTTGGGGAGTTCCTTGAATGAGGACCCTTCCCTGCCTTCATTCTAGAAATATCCCTGACCAATTAAGTTCGGTGGCATGTTCCAGACACTTCTGTGTTTCTGCACAAACCCTCAGAAAGCTTTTCCTTCTGCTGGTTTCCAAAGTTCTTAGCAGGTCTATAGCTGGCATCCAGCATGTGAGGAGCTTCCATCCCTCATTTTCCCCTCTGAGGTGCTGCTGACTGCAGCAAAGAGCACCAGAGGACAAGGAGTGCTGAGAGGAGTCGAGTGTCTTGGAGGTTAAGATGCAAACTCTTCACCCAGATAATGAAAATTGCTCTGTTGACAGGGATTACACCTTCAAGCACTGACCTTATGCCATTCAAGTCAGTTTAAGATGCAGTTGTATAAAAGACTGCTTTAAGTATAACTCCACATTATCAGTGGAGAGTTTTCTTGGTTGTTGAACAATCATGAGAAGGAGAAGCTTCATGAAAGTATCATAAAATGTTGGCAATAATTTTATGCATAATAAGTGCTAGTTGAGCTTGTAGGTTTTTTCACGTTCTGCTCTTTATTGAGACAGCTTCTCAGCTTGATGAAAAGCTGCTTGTTGTCTTGGGCAGGAAATCTCACATCTTTTCCAGGTTTCATGGTGGTGGGTAGAGTAGGGTGTGTAAATCAAAGCCATATGGGACAAAATGCGATGGGTTTTACTAGCAATTAACAAGAGGAAAGGTTGAAATGTTTGCCCGGTAACATCACTGGTCTGGGCTGTTTTCTCCTCATTGTGGACCTGTGAGTTAAGCATGTGGCTTCTAATGAAAGCCTACTGGGTTTAGACACCTTTTAGTCTTAGCCTTCACTGTATCCCTTGGAATTAGAAAGTGAATGTGTGTAGCAGATGTTCCCAGCCTGCTTTGCCTCATTGTAATTCCTACAATACTTCGTTCCTTATCTTTAACCCATTTCTGAAATCGATGGTGTCAAGCCTCTCTGGCTTCACATAATCTAATATGTTTTAAAAAATGATTTTTCTTGCCATCTTATTCTTTCTGCCTTGCTTCTGCATCTTCCATCGACTTTAATTAAGCTTTCCTTGGGCTTGTGACCTTGGCGAGCTCTTAAAAATAAAGTGAACTGACTTGCAAAGTGATTTTTCCCAATCTTTTTGTAGCCCTGCTGGAAATTCCCTTGGTGTGATGTTTAAAAATATAGGCTATTCATTTGGGATCATCATGTGTGCACTGTGTGGCAACAAGGAGAAACCTCAGCTATCTAATTATTAAATTCTAGTAAATAATTCCATTTCTCTATAATTTCTGGTTTGACTTTTCTAGTCCTTTAGGACCTAGACCTAACTATACACTGTTGTTTTTTTTTAAAGAAAGACTGAAAAAAATGTTCTTTCAGAAAGACAGTATTGAAAGAAAACCTTTTCAAAAAAAGTAGAGTGCAGAGTAGAAGATGTCTAATGAAATGCCTAATACAGATTCTCAGCATGCTTGTTATCTTCCTTAGCATTTTTGCCCCCAAAAAATTCTAGAATAGTTGGGTAGAAGGAGATAACTCTTCTTAATTCCATTTATAATTACATTTGCCTGGCTTCCATTGGAAGTCTGAATAGTTGCTTTTGTCCTGATTTTCACTGCTGTGGAATCTACACATAAATCACTGCACACTGTCATGCTCTGGAAGGCTGGACATGAAATATCCCTAAATCTGACAGTGTAGATGTCAGATCTACAGAGGGTCTTATGTGCAGAATGACTAAATGGGTCTAAAACCTCAAAGGATTTTTTGGTCTCCTCTTTCTTACTTGGAAGCATTCTTTTTGCCAGCTTCTGTGCCTTGTGGATGGAAAGGAGTGGACAATCCCAGGAGTGTACAATGCCACACAGGCCTTTATGTAGATTTGTAATTACCTGCCTTTGCAGAGGCTTCTCTTCCTGTGTTCATGGGAGAGCTGGAGGAGCTGGCAGATTTTTTTGCCTGATTTTTTTGACAAAAATCACATAGTGCTGGAGAACTCACCAGGGTCAAGAAATGAAGGCAGCATTGGATGTGGCTGCACACACAGAGCAAACTCACAGCAGGAGGGAGGAAAAAAGCTTTTCTAGGCACTATATAATGTACCAAATAACACAATAAAAATCTTAGTAAAGGCTGGAATTTTAGGTTTAGGTCTGGGTAAATACTACAGGGAAGACTACAGTGTGCTTTGACCTAGTGACCAACAGTGACACAACTCCTCATTTATTTTTGCTGGGAACATATTTTGGATTAGGCATGACTTGTTACTTGTAACCTCTTTTCTTTTGGAAAGAAAAAAGAAAAAAATCCAATCTCTTCAAAGAGATTATGCTCAGTGTTAGCAAAAACCGACCTTGAATTAACATTGGCTATCTGACTACTGCTAATTTAGCAATCCTTGATATGATGCATTTAAAACTCTCCTAATTGCCAGTATTCCTCTAGTATGTTGTAGTTTTCCACTGCAGACAAGGCCTTTTCAAGTGCTTTTGAACAACAGATTATTTTTTTTCTACTTAGATGCCTTAGTGTAGAGCCTAGCAAACTACAACAGATCCCTGCAGCAGCGTTCAGTACCCTGATTTTAGACCTGAAACAGAATAGTAGCACAACAAGGTGTGATACTTTCCTAACACTGCCAGAGCGCTTTTGCAATCGAGGTGCATCCTGTGCTTGGAATGAGCCTGGGTGTCCCTAAAATACCAGTGCAGTGCTTTTTATGGACACAGTCTCACTGAGCAAGAGGGGACAATTCCCTGCCATGAAATGAGGTATGTGTCTGCCAGTGTTAGATCAAGTCCTAGCCCTGATTTTAAAGAGCATTGATTTAGTCACTCAGGTCAAAATTTAATATAAGGTGTTAATGATGTCATAAAATTGACATCATTAATATCCATTCCTTGCCATCTATGAAAAATAAGTGTTTCAAACAACTATGACATTCAAGTCACTCCAGATTTCTTTTCTTTTCTTTTATTTTTTTTTCCAGTTTTTTTGGAGTCAGTCTATTGTTATTATTAGATTTAAAAGAAAAGTTAGAAGAAGAGTGCTGAGAGCAGACAGGTTATTTTTCATGTGCATTTTTCCTCAAGAAGCACTCCTTGGTGTTTTTAAAAGTGTTTGGGTGTTTTTAAAAGTGTTTGATTGTTTTTCTGCTCCACTTTGGAAGGTAGGCAATTAGCCTCCACCAGGACTGCAAGCCTTGAGCCTTTTAAGTAGACTTGTATTGAAAAATGGGAAATGATGAAGGAATAAGAGAGCTGCTCCTCAGAATCTGGACCTTTGGGCAATAGGGATACTGCCTTTGGAAGGGAATGGACACTGTGTGATATTCCACCTCTGTGCTGGGATGAAGTGCATCCTTTTGCCTTGCATTTCACCTAAACAGAAACTTCTGCTATCACAGAGTCTGTTGCATTCTGTACAGACATTCTGCTCTTAAAAAACAACACCTTTTTCCATATGGCTTGAATTAATTCACTGAGACATTTGCAGATTGGGGGTGCTTGGGGGTAATGGAATTCTCTGTCTGCTACTACACACAAAGATGCAAATGCTTACCTAGAATTACTGAGGAAGAAGGTATGCCCTCAAGTTTCTCAGCATAGATCAATGTTCAATTTAACAAATCTTTTAGATAAGGGTAAGGCGCTTTTTTTTTCGTCATGATCTGGAATATGTACAGCATCAGCAAGAAACTTTCAGTCAATTTTATTTTGATATCTGAAACTCAGCATCTCTTAAGTGACTTAAATTGCCACTTTTTACAGTTCCCTTAGGAGTTCATATGTAGTCAACAACAGTTAGGGCTCAGTTTAAAATAATTCATTGCTTGCTGTCCTGATGGTATGAGTTAGTATTCATGCAGGACAGATTTATCAGCTTGATTTTGAAGCTGTATTTGCAGGGATGTTTTGGAAATTTTTCTTTCTCTTACAGGTAGATCCAGAGCAATTGACAAGATCTATGATCCCAGCACCTTAAATTCTTTCTGTGTGAGTGGCTGCTCAAAGTGTATTATAGCAGGCCAGATCCTTTCTAGGCTTGTCTGAGGCAGTTTCAATTTTCAAGAATAGTGGTACTTTATCCACCATTATCCACCAGCATTCTGAATCTGCCCAAAGTGGCAGTTTGTGCTCCGATCCCTTGATTAGAGAGCAAAGCAGCATGAGAGAAAAGGGCCAAAGGTGTCATCTGTGTTGGCCACCCTGCAAGAGGTATCCTGGGTTCGCTTGCATGCTTGCCCTCCAGGCTTGCCCCTGCTCAAATGTACATTAAATCAGATCTCTGGAATTTTAGCTTTTTCAGGTTGATGTGAATGAGGAGCTCATTAGGAGATTTCTAAGCAAAATTGCATAAATGGGGCCGAGGATGTTAGGTCTTGAATTTTGGACATTGGTCTTGAATTTTTAGACTTCTGAAATGGAAATGGTTTGTTTTTTCAGGTATAAAGAATGATCATGACACACAAGTCAGGGTGATATGTGAATCATTTTGCCTTTGTCATATTTTCTGATAAAATGACTTGAATTTGCAATACATGTAACTTTTCATGTTAATACTTGGTGAAATTCCTTGTAGTTTCAGATATGAACAGAATAGTTTTTTCTTGGCATACTGATTATTCCTTAGATCAAAAATTTATCTTGCTTTATTTCTAATGTGCTCATAAACATTTTTCTGAGTGAAACATTACTGCAATTCCATGCATACACACTGTATTTGAAATAGTCCCAACAGAATCTGATGCCAAACCTTTCCGTGTGGAGGACAGTTGCCCATAAGAGAGCAGATAGGAATTGAACTTAAAGTCATTCAGAATTTACAGGTCAACTTCAAAGAGGATTTCTGCTCATGTTTTATTGTTTTTCCATTTTACTCCAGGTCATGGACTGTATATGACTGATGTTTCTGCAAGCTTTGAGAAATCCATCAGTGTTGCATTGGATTCATCATCTTTCCTGACATAAAAATTGATAAATAGGATGTGCTTCATAGTTAATTCCTATCCTTTCTATACAGGCCATACACATAAAAGAAAAAGCCCTGTGATTGTGAAGGAACTTATGATAGAGCATGCATTCAAGATTATACATGCATATGAAAATCATCTGAAAATTTGCTTTCATAGTCTGTCTGATCAACTGAGGAGGAAGAGATGCTGTGTCTAGACATGCAAAGATGCATATCAGTTATGCTACAATAATTTTTAAGGCAAGGTACACAGCCACTTGACAGATGGTAATTCCTTCTTTAGAGCTTCCTGTTTTTCTCCCTGACTCTCGAGTTGTTATGATAAACTTGGCACAGCTTTGTTGCTTGGAAGGAAGCTCTGTGACAGAGGAGCATGTGTGTTGTACAAGTATGTACACATGCCTCAAATCATTATTGTATAACACATCCTCTGGCACTGCTGCATCTATTTGCAGAATAGATGGATGGCTGAGCTTTTTGAACTTGAATAAATCATCTCTGAACAAAATATCTGAGTCCCTACTGCTGGAACATCCTCTGATATGTGTTTCTAAACCAAGTAAGAAGCCCAAGAAGAGATGCAAAGCAAAAAGAGATGATCACAAGGAAGAGAAGGCTGAACAGCATGGTGAGCTGAAGTGCTGCTAATCATGGAGGGCTAGAATTGATCCAGCTGTGGCAACCAAGCCCAACACCTGCAGCTTGTTCTGCCAGCTGTGGCTATTTGATTTGTATTCAGATGGTGGCCAGAAGAGCTCAACAATGATGAGTTCAGTTACAGCAGCGGGTGGACAGTGCATGAAGATTCAGGTCATTTTGGAACAACCCAGAAGCTAAACAAGCCAGTAGAGTAATCCCCTTTTTTTACAATCATTAGGAAGTAAATGACCAAACAAGATTTATGGGTCTATGTCAGCATGTCTATAAAGGTCAGCTACCATTTAGTACAGTAATCTGATATATTTAAAAGATACAAGGGGAATAAAAATGTTTCAATGTGCCAAAAAAAAAGAACAGCGTAGGAAAAATCCAAGTCCTAGCAGTTGAAATGTAATGATATTCCAATCAGCCTTGCCAATGGGGCAGAGGAGTTCTAGGGGGAATAGTAATACAGAGAAACAGATTTGTCTTGCAGACTTAAAATAGTACCAATGAGAAAAATTTAAAAGTCTAAAAAATTATTTGAACCTTCTTAGATTTCTCCCTGACCACCCTTTACATGCTCACAGGCATCTTCTTTTTTGGTAGAAATATGAATGCTGTCACTATCCCAAGTAGAAAACCTGTTCATGTGAAAAAAATTGCTATGAGTAATCTAAAAACAGAGAGCAGAGAAAGGAGAGCTTGGAGTGATTCAAAACATGTTTAGCCTTCATATTAGATATGTTTACACATGTTTAAATTTTGTTTGGTTACTGATGACAAGAGTTTCTCTCTTCCTTATGTTAATATAAATCAGGAACTGTGAGAAGGAAAATGCTGTGGTTTTATTTTTCTGAAAGCAAATTTAGTGCCTTTATCTCTTGCTGGAAAAGAACCTAACTTAACAAGGTGTCATTAAAGGCAAAGACTGAACTTTTAAAGGATCTTGGTGCAAATTTATGTTGTCAATATTGGGGAAAGTTAAGCAACTATGGCAAAAAAAAAAAAAAAAAAAAAAACCAAAAAAACCCCACCCAACAACAAAAAAACAACAATTGCTTATGGCATAAGATTTTCCTTTCTAGCAGTGTATTAAATTAGATGTCTCTGCTGCTGTCTTTGCTCTTTTAAGTACCATCACAATTATGTTAGTCAGTGTGTGAATGTCCCTGTGTAGTGGCAGCTCAGATCAGCTAAGTTTGTATTCTTCCATTTCATTTACTCAGTAAGGAATATGAATCTCTGTCTCTCATAAAAGCCAGTGCGGATAAGTAAGAATTTGGACCAGTGTATTTCTGAGAGTGGGTGCTTACTTCAAGGGAGTGGTATGCAGCTCCCTGTTCAAAAGATGCAGCCCTGTTTTCAGAGCTGAAGATGAGTTATCTTAGTGAAGAAGAATTCCTTGCTCACCTGTTTTTTTTTTTGTTTTGCTGAGGGGCACTGACTGATGTCATCTGAGCACTGCCTAACACTTTTGAGGGATGACCATTCCAAATCTGTCCTTCAAAGATGCCTTTTTTATTTTTTTGAAAAAAAAATTTTTCTTCCCCCGGGGTTTTTTTTTTTTTTTTTTTTTTTTTTTTTTTTTTTTTTTTGTTAATGGGAGCAGGTGTATTGGGTCAGGAAATATTCTCTTTTCAGAGACCTGAAAGGACCTGGCTGTCAAAATGCATTTGGAATGTGAGACAGACAGCCCTTCCAAGAGGTAACTGAGGGGCACTGACTGATGGCATCTGAGCACTGCCTAACACTTTTGAGGGATGACCATTCCAAATCTGTCCTTCAAAGATGCCTTTTTGCTCCAGCTCCAATTCCACTTGTTTAAAAGAGAGAGAGAGAGCAAAAAAGACAAAACAAATGGCCCACAACAGGTTTCTGGTTGATAGCATGGATTCAGGAGAGCTTGTTACAGTGAACAGATATTACTTTCCAATACCTCTGCAATAAAATTTTGCTGTCAGCAGGAATCCATATTTTTACAGAAAAATAAACCAAGACTGTTTAGCCAGATGTATTACAATAGATCTTGGAGTGTAACTGGGGAAGAACACATAGCTAGTAAAGAAATAAATGTTTAAGTTAAATATATTTATTACCAGTTGATATAATTTAGCTTTTTATGTTCTGGATCATCTTGAATTTAATGGCTAACCAAAAAAGAAAGCACTTCAAAAGGGATAACAACAACAACAACAACAACAACAAAAAAAAAAAAGGAGAAAAGGGAGGGAGAAATGATTAAAAATCTGTGCTAATAAGCTGAGCTCTGCTTTGCTAGAGGCATGTTTGGCATTGGAGAAAAACCAGAATATACGAATGAGATTAAAGCTTTGCAGTTACAGTGGGCTTGTGCAGTCAATGTGCATTTCCAGAATGGCAGAAAAATAAAAATTATGACTACTTCTTTAGGAGGTTTGTTTTAAAATGACTGATACAGTTAGAGGTTTTCTTCTAGATATGAATCCAAAGATAAAATTACTCTAAATTGTCAGATGTTTTAAAATTTGGAGATGTTATATGTACCTATAATGAGTTAAGATATAAATCATCTACCACAGAGATAGCACTGCTTTTTTTTTTTTTTCTTTCCTTTAGGTAAATATAAATATAAGTACCTCGTATTTAAGTGCAAGAACATCTCACATTTCTAAAATTCTGGCAACTTTGAATCATCAGAGAGCATCAAGGCAAGTAGTCCTAAACTATGTCTTTCACTTCAGCCATATGATGAAGATTTTTTTAACGCTGTCTCCTCTCTCTTTTCCTAAAGAGCTCTAAATTTGCATGAAAAATAGGGGAATAGAAAACTTCAAGGATTATTAGTAAAATGTGATGGTGGTGTGGGTTTCTGTAACTGTGCCTTGGGTTAATAAAGGACAAATAAGTGAGTTACAGAAACTGTGCCTTGTTTTTCTGTCTTAAGGATAATGTGAACTACTGATTCCAAAAATGTATTGTGAGGCCTCATAAGTATTGACTTTTAGAGGAATATAATTAATTCTTCTCAATTAAGCTTGTATTGGCTAAAAGCTAGGTGTTGATTTTTAGTCATTATTGACAGAACATTTTATTGAAGGCATTTTTTATATCATGTGGTAAAATGCTGAGATTTGTAATTAACACATTGTAGGTTCCAAAGTGATAAGTTTCTTACAGGACTTTAAATTACTGTTACGTATTGCTCATTCTACTTTCTGCATGTAGAACCTTCTGGCAGTTCATCAAAAGTAGCAGAAAATTTCAATTAAAAGTGTCCTCTTGGATTTTGTGCATACCACATATGAAACAAAATACCTTCTTGTAGTTTAATGACCTCATGTGGGAGAAATCTTGAATGAAATATTTGGTATTTTTATTTGGGTTTTCTTTTACAAGGGGGACAATCTGCAGCTGACTTAATGCCTGGTAGTTGGTTTCATTGGGCACTTTAAGGTATATCTGCCAGCTGAGAGCAGATAGCCCTCCTGCACTGGCCTGGGAGAGGAACCAGTTTCAGCAGCATTGTGCCACACATGCTGCCACAAATGAAGTCAAAGGTGCTAGCAACCATGGTGTTCCACTTAACTGTCCTGAAAATGATACTGGAAATGATGATCCTCACCATGGAAGTGAACAGCCTGCATTCTAAGGTCTGCACCTGCTTTTACTCAGTTCAGCAGCAGCTCTAAAGTCAATGCTAACAGTATATTTGCAGTGTAACAGAGTGAGCACACTTTTATCCACCTCCCCACCCTTCCCCTGCACCCTTTTTTTTTAACAGCAATTAATTTCAGCAATTACTCTTCCTCCTTTCTGGTTTATTGCCTGGGTACCACTAAGGCCAGTGTTGTGACTGTAGTATCAATTTTAGTGGAGGTTTACTGCCCAGCTCCCTCAAACCCCACTAACTGCTGACACGGGCAGTACTAAGGGAGCAGGAATGATGCAGGAGGTACAAGGCAGGAGAAAGTTTAAGGCCAGAGCTGCTGAAAGGAGCATTTGTGAAGCCCTCTGAGGATGCCAACTCCCAGCAAGGAGAACTGACTCACAAGCAGGCTACAAATGTGCAGCCTCTGTGCAGGCTGAGCATCCTTTTCAGCGAGTTGGTGTTCCTGTGACAGCGACAGGCGTGCCCCCATCCAGCCCACACTCAGAGAGGATCAGCTGGGACCTGGAGGCTTCACAAGTGCATGAATTCAGGGCTGGCCCTGCCATAAACTGGATGAGAGAGGCTGCATTTCAATTTGGATTGAACTCCACACCACTGTGGCTTCCAAACTAGAGCTGGCTCACTTCTTGTTGATTTGGAGGACAAGACACTGGAATGAGAACCCGTGGGGAAATATGTTCTGCTGACTGATGTCCCTGGGAAGGGTAAAGTGGGGTAACCTCATGCAGTGTGTAAAGGTACAAAGCCATTAAAAAAACTAAATTATGTCTTCAACGAAAAGTAGAAGAGAAAATTATTTTTCTTTTGTCATTTTTCATACCGTCCAGCATGTTGTATATCATTGTATACCATCCAGTTGTAACTGAGAGAATATTTATTTTTGCCCTTGTATGAAGTAAAAAAGGGTTCTATTTGTTTTTATTCATTTTTTAATTAGCTTTTTATTTACAAACACCTGGGACAGGAAAGTGGCATAAAAATCTTTCTCATAATGGTACAGAGCCATTGTAAAATTTTCATTCTGGGCAGTATGCAATGTGGAGAAAAATCTTGGCATGCCAGTATTTTCACATTGTTCAAAAGGCTTTTAAGGTCAGAATGGATTATTCTGATAAGAATGTGACCTCCTGTCCACAGCATGTACCACAAAACTTAACCTGTCAGAGGAGTTTCATTTTGGTTTGCTGGTTTTAGCTCACCTTGCCTAGCTTACTGTGAATATTCAAGATTTGACAGGCTTCAATGAAAATATGCTGGATTCCAGAAAACATACGCATCAAATCAAATGGGTAAGTAGTCTGGGTCTAATATGAAATTTTCAGGGGGACCAATCACCACAGTATTTTCCTTTTCTTCAGGATGTGTATGTGCACATGCTTCCCAATCATCCTGAGTGATTAAACACTTACTGAGAATGGCTGACCTTCTCATAGACCCTTCTGACCTAATTACTGCAGTGCATGTATTTGTCTTTCTGAAGATTTTTTTCTTCTTGCTCAGCTCAGGTTATTCAGTTGAGGCCCACATTGGGCTCCAAAGACACCATCATGGGCCTTCCAGTACACAAAGTGCATAACCAAAAATTATTATTCTCATATCAGAAAGGAGGATACGTAACAAATGTTATGCAGTTACCATCACCAGCTCCCACTTAATGACATTCCCAGTCTCCTCAAAACACAAAACAAAGCAATAAACAAACAAGCAAACAAACAAAAAAAAAAAACCCACATCCAAAAGCAGGCAGTATTTATTTTATCTAAGTATCATAGAGATGGTGTACTGTCTAGATGAAGGATTCCACTTGAAATCCTCTTTTTTTTTTTTTTTTTTTTTTAATAATGTTCATTATATTTTAGAGCCAAAAAGTTTGGGGGAAGGTCTGAAAAGAAATGTTGCGTTAAGTCAGGTTAGGTAGAAGGAGACGCTTCTCACTAACTTATCAGTCTTTTAGTCTCTAATGTTTTCAGTGAGGGATAAAAACTATTATTTGGGCAAGCTTATTTAAACTCTTCAGGTCTGTTTCAGGGACCTGGAACTGATATAAGTGAGAAGTGGAACAAGCACCCTCGGCCAAAAGCTATGGTGTAGACACAAGTAGCTGAGTTACCTCTCTGCCAAGCCCAATTTTGCTGACACCTGAGAAGAAGTGACAAGATTATCAGGCTGGCATTGACAGCATCAGCATGGGTGGACAGGGCTGACATTTTTTCATGGCTATTAGGTCCTAAAGCAGGGATGTCCCAGCTAAGGGGAGCACTCCAGCCGAATGGTGCTCGCCCTTCCCAGGCCTGAGAGAGGAAAACAAGCAGATCCCCCTGGCTAATCATGTTAGTGCTGCTGACAGCCTCTGCCGTGCCTCGAGGATTTTGCAGCTCTGTTGCTGTGCCAGGGGGGTTGTGTGTGGGTGATAGCCTGTGTATCAGGCTCTCCTCTGGCTTGTAGAGAGCATGGTGGATTACTCCCTTTTGTGTTTTGGCTGCACTGGCTGAGAACTTCAACAGCTAAAGCTGCTATTTTTAAGCAGCCACAAGAAACTGATTTATCTGTCAGTGCAGGGGAATGTGCTTTGCAAAGCAGCGAGCTACGTATCTGGGTCACACACTGCATGGAGTCAGGCAGTCCTGTGCAGCTCAGTCAGGAATTAGGCAGCTATCAAATGTTGGGTTTGGGGGAGAAGGAAAAAGAATTCTCAAACAGCAGGGAAGGAGTCTTCTTTGGGATAAGAATCGCCATATGCTAAGCTGCTTTCTTGCCACCAGCTGGACAGAGGAAACTTTAAGCTGTCTAGAGGAATAAAGCAAACCAGCCTCTTTATTCCACAATTTTTAAAGGAAAAGCACTTTTTAATTGGTTGGTCTTTGTTTTGGACATCTATAACAGGTACCCATAAGCCTCTCTCTTAAGCCAGCCTAGCCTACTTGTACTATTACTATAATTTTAAAAACTTTGGGGGTTGCTTGCATGTGTGTGTTCATTATAAAAGCAGCCTAGCCCAGCATTCCTTTGGATAAGAGAGGGGCAGAAAATTGGTCTGTACCTCTCCTGTGGGAGTCTGAGACAGTCCTTGAACTACTTCACTGGAAAATAATTTCCATAACCATTTTCTACACTGGCTCGTGAAGGGGAGAGCTGTGTCCCTTTGCTTCCACAAGGCTCCAGCCTCAAAAGCAAGTCCATGAGCAATACAACATGGAAAGAGCAGGATTTTATGGCTTCATCTTTCAACATCTTGCAAGAGTGTGGCAGTAATGGTATCACTGATATGGGCAGAGCCCAGCTATCCATCTGAGAATGGAAGGATGAGACAGGGAACACCACGGTCCAGAAGATGATGAAATTCCATTGTTGTGTCATCCTTGCCAGGCAGGGCTGGTTGTTCCCAGGCACCACACAACTGGGAGGAATTGGTGGCTTGTGACAGCAGCTCTCCAATGGGTGAGTAGAAACAGAACAGAACATGGCATGGGAAAAAGTGTAACTGCTGCCTTAAGGAAAAAAATTAAGTGATCTGGGATTGCTGCATTCTATTTTCATACTGTTTTTCTTCCTAATTTTCTTTAGTACAGTGTATTCTTGTAAGTTTTTAGCTTGTGTAATGTCTTAACACAAAATCTTTGAGGACAAAGATACATCAATTAGATCATGCCTACAAAGACCATTGATCGTGGTCTTTCTTCCCCTTTAGCATTTTGGATTAAACTACTTGATTGGCTTGGAGAGGAGTGGTCTGGAAAAGGAGTTTCAATTATTATTTCATATAGGCTCATCAGACTGGATTGATGCTAACTGGCTTATGTAAAAAACCCCCCAAAAAGAAAAAATAATAATAATAATAATAATCAAAAACCAAACCATGCATACCCATGTGAAGCCCTTCATGATCATTTTGGTTTATATGTTTTAATTCTTTTCTCTTCTGATGGTGAAATGGCAGTGAACTAAATTTAGCAGCTGCAAACTAAAAACTCTATTTCCTATATTCCAGGCAGGTACAAGATAGCAATATCTGTCTTTTGAAAATTGCTTTTTGCTTTCCTTCTCCTTCCCCTTCCTCTCCCTTCTGGTCCCTGGTAGACCATGTTTTAGCTGTCAAGAGCACTAACATGGCACTGTGGTCCTGTAGGTCCTGAAGAGGCTCAGTAGGTATCACTTTGTTCCCCCAAATACAGTCATAATCTGTATTTCAATATATACCTTTGTACTGAAGTGTTTGCCTGAACTGAGGCTCCCTTTTTTCCCAAGGCCTGGTTTTCTGAATGTAGTCCAAAGCTCATTAACAGTATTTAATTCTGCAGGGGGCTGTAATCTAGTCAAGGGCAGAACAGATTAAGTCAAATGGATGTCTACCTCACTGGCATGGTTTAACCCTGGCTGACAACTAAGCACCACATAGGAAGTAGAGAGAGAGCAAGGAGAATCAGAAAAAAAGAAAATAAATCCCAAGGATTCAGATAAAAACAGTGTGATAAGTTAAAAAATTGTTAATAATAATAATAATGAAGAAGAAAAAGAGCATAATAGAAAGAGAGAAAGGCATTAAGCCTAAGAAATACAAGTGGTGCGCAGCAGATTTGCTCACCACCTGCTGACTGATGTCCAGCCCATCCCAAGCAGTGATCCACAGCCAACTCCCTCAGTTCATATACTGGCCACGCTGTTCTGGGCTATGGAACAGTTCAGCTCAGATGTGCTGGCCATGCTTCCTCCCAAATCTTTGTGCCCGTCCTCACAGGCAGGGCCTGAGACACTGAACAGTTCTTGACTGTGGGCAAACACTGCTCAGCACCAACCAAACCATCGGTGTGTGATCAACACTATTCTCACACTGAATCCAAAACTCAGCTCTCTGCCAGCTACCAGGGAGAAAATTAACTTTATCCCAGCCAAAATGGGCATTCACATCACACAACAGTGGATCTAGTGAGGTACCTATTGCATTCTGATAAGTTTTCCAAGGTCAAATATACATATGTGTATATACATTTACAATTTAAAAGATACAACCTTGTTTTGCCACTCCAAATTTACCATTGTAGTACCAGTTGTGCAGTCATTTAAATGGGTAGCAAGGTATGCTCACTGGATTTAGAGAACAGTATCTCATTTGCAGATTTTTGAGCAGCAGCTGATATTATAGGGTTTGGGTAGTTCTCTTTCTGAGTATAGTATATCAGGAGAATGAAGGCTGTAATAAAAAGGTTTAGCATCATCCTTAACTGCCACATCTTACTTGAAATACTGTCTGTAGCCTCTTTGCATTTTGGCAATTTGATTGTACTGAATGTGGGGAAAGAGAGATCACGGCATAAGAAAAATTCACAAAGAAGATTTTTCCTATTTTTTTAATTTTTCATGGAGACCTAGGAACACTGAAGTGATGATTATAAAAAGAGATAATTTAGCGTAATAACAAAGGCTAAATTACAGGCTTCAGGTTGCAAAACCTTACTTTGGATTCTTGGAAATTTTCCAGCATGCAGCCCTCTGAATACACTCTGATCATAATCCAGCCAAATTTCATGATGTTCAGTAAGGGAAGGATTTGTGCCCTGTTTTTCTGAGAGTTAAACTTTATACCCCTGACAGAGTGCAGGTCTGCAAAACAGCTCAGGCATCCTTAAAAGGATTCAAGCACACCTCATTTTCATAACCTCTTACATTTGCCTCAGTAAAACTCTGGGTTGCAGTCAGCATGTGGAACAGCTTGCAAGGAAAACTTCAAATCTTTCCAGTGCCTGTATGCATAAATGTAAAAATCTCCATCTGGTAGTGTGCACTGATACCTACTGGCCAGTTCTGTAGCTGGAAATTGAAAATCTATAACCAAGGTTAACCAATGCATTTTAAATATTATATTCAGAGTTTGAAGATTATGCAATGTAAAATATGTTTTAACTCAGGCAC